ACCACAAAGAAAAACAGGAGGAAAGTGAAAAATATTATCTTCTCAATCACAACTAAGAAAATTCTTTCATCCAAGTCACGGCTAACCATGACCAGTAAACTGCAAGAAATAGGATTGGCAGGGTAGGCAAACAGACAACTCCTCAATTATTCTGAAATGTTGATGTTATGGCATCCAACCGAAATATTAAAAGGAAATCAAAACCCACTAGTTTTGCAGGTATAGAATAAAGTTCACCATTTCCCAATTTAAGGTACCAAACTAAATAATCATATTGATATTGCACAAAGGCAATTCGACACACAGAGAGGAGGAGAGAGAGAGAGAGAGAGAGAGAAAGAGAGACAGAACAAAACCTCATTGACCTTATAAAGAGAAAACAACACAACCTCAATCTATCGCATTAATATCAACAGTGTTTTCAAATTTAGTATAGTGGAAATCTACCTACCACCTAACAAATTGAAAACATACAGCAAGAAGTGAAAGGAAAATAATTATGTCGATAATACCATCATGAACCACACCATCAAGGAGAGTTTAATGAGGGAAAACAAATTAATCATACCATAATTGCTAGAAACAGATTATGGTATAGGACATACCTCAAGCCTCTGCTCTGAATCATTCCACTCAAACATTGGGAAGTCGGTCACCCATAGAATTGAATCCCTGGTCTAAAATATCAGAACCAGTCCAAATCAGTAGGATGAGGAAAAGAAAAAACAAAACAAAAAAATGGTTACACATACTCAAGATCATAGGCTAGTGAGAAACTTACATCATCAATCAAACCAAGTTCATGGGCTACAAATAACCTAAGTCGATCTAGAGTTTTATTCACTGATACATGAGGGCCCACGCCAAACAGTATAAGATCACCTGGCCCTGCTGCACATTGTCTCAATAAGTCTATTTTATTTGTTGGATTCATACTAGTAACTAGTGCCTGAATTCCCTCAACTTCACCTGAAAGAATATTCCAAACACATCAACGCTGAAAAACTGGAACCTTAGTATAACCTATGAAGAAATTAATTATTAGGTGGGGAAAGAAAAAGTATTCTCTTTACCATCATCCAACACCTTCAGGAAAGGCAAACCCTTTGCACCAGACTTGATTGCCTCATTGTAAATATCACCTTTCTTGAGAGCTGTGTTTGAATAACTTTTAGCACCAGAAGGTACACATAATGCTTTGATAATTCCTCCACTTTTAACAGCATCTGAAAAAACCCTAAATGGGGACTCCGCAAATATGTAAGACACCTGCAGCTCCAAAGAAACTCTTTACTTTATCATCCACTTGAAAAGGATATTGGAGAAAACATTACTATAAGAACAAATAGAAGCATTTGTTTTGTTTTGAACTTTACAGAGTACTTGTTGTGCAATCAGAATAAGTCAAACTGAAAGATCATTAAATGTTTTTAGAATAGGTATGAAACTTAGTGTTTTGCATGTTTTTAAATTGTTTACGCTAGGTAAGTTTAACTAGATTTAGGAGATTTAAAGTTTCATTAGGATTTAGAAACTCTTGATCTCTTCCTTGTGAGTTTTAGATTATCCTTGCTTGGCTGTAATTAGTGCCAATGGAAAGGCTACCAACCTAGAGCATGGGTAGCCTAGGTGGTTGTGTTTCCTCAGGAAACAATATTCTTTAGAATAACACATCTTATCAAGTAATATAGCAAACAGAAGTGCATTAATTTTTTTAATCGAAAGAAAGCTTTATTAGAATAAGAGAGAAAAGTAAATGCAGAGAACAAGAGATCCCCCAAAGAATTGTATCAGATGCATTAGAAAAAAAAACATGAACGAAAATACTCTAAGAAATAGAAACAAAGAGTTCAGAAATCCAGGTGAAGCTCTGAGATGGCTATCTCAGAATATTTCCTGCGACTTTTCTTCCATAATATAGAAAAAAATGTAACCCTATCCCACAACTCCTGGAAAGAAGAACATCGGTCATAAAAAATTCTGCTGTTTATTTCCAGCCAAATCACACATAATCCTGCAAATATCACCCCTTGCCATGGGAACTTTGCACCCTTCCGTTTCTCTCAACTGTCGTAGGGACAAACCAATAAAGACCAAATAGATCAATGAGTTTGGCCCACAACTTCAATTCTTACAATGAAAGAAAAGATGTGCATCTCTCTCCTTACAGCACATAACACAGATATTCGGGGACAGTGCCAGAGGCCTACAGACTTTTAACATCTTATTGATGTTAAGCTTTTGATGGATAGCTATCCACGTAAATACTGCAATAGGGAAATGGCTAGATATTGTATTTTTTTAGGTGATCGAAGGACTTGCAAGAGTATAAGCCTGAGGGTTCTAGGGTCCAAACTTTGGTGTCTGGTTGATTTGCAATCTGAATTGGCTCTAGCAGGGTTGATAAGATTTGCATTTCAGAAGCCTCCCTTTCGGTTAGGTTACATTTAAAGTAGAGGTTCCATGCAACTCTTCCTTCTGATATGGATATGAAGTATGAAACAGATGCATTGGGACTAAAGGATAATGTAACAGTCAGGGAAAATGTGTGGCCAACAGTTGCCACCCTACCCATGTGCCTTCCTAAAACATGGCTTTAGAGCCATCTTCCACTTGTAATCTGGTTAAGGGAAGGAATAGTGCATAAACTTCGGAGATAGCTTTCTAGGGACTGCTACAGGATATAGATCTTCCTGTTCTGGCATCCCAGCCGTCCCTACCATCCAACTGAACACCATTCATCACCTTCCGGCACAGTTTGTCCCATAGATAAAGTGCCAAATCCATTTAGCCAATAGAGATATGTTTTTTACCTAAGATTCCTAATACCTAATCCCCATGAACTCTTGGACTGACAACAAACCTTTCACTTGTCTAAGTGATACCTATCTCTCCACCACTCTGGTCCACAAAAACCTCTCCATGTGCCCCCTCTATTATCTTTGCAACTCGCATGAGCACCCTGAACAATGATAAGTATATGAGAATGCTAGAA